ATTTCTTATTATTTTTATTTATTTTTATATACATAGATATATATACAAATTCATTCTAAGTGTATTTTGATATAAATATATATATATTAATTTTAAAATACAGTTAGAATAAAATTTCATATAGCTATATAATTTTTTTTAAATTTTTATTATTATTTAAAAAAAATTATTTAATTTAAATTACTTATTATTTATATTTTATAATAATATATATATACAATATATATAGTTATTATATATATTATATATATACGTGTGTAATTTAATTATAAGTGTATTTTTATATTAATATAAGTACATATTAATATAAAAATACACTTAGTATGACATTATATATATATGATATATAGACATATATTATATAGATATAATATATGTCTATATATCATATATACACATATATAATTATTATTTTTTTTTTAATTAACACTAACTTTATTTTTTTTTCTGATTTTACACTAGCAGGGAGACTGCCTGTCAGCACAGACAGTCCCCCTGCAGGCAGACACATGGACACCTATTGTGACCATGTGATCGCTGTGTTAAGAGATCACATGGCCACAGGGGTCCTAATCTGCCGTGGGGAGACTGTCTGGGCTGCAGGCAGTCTCCCCACAACCGGAGGAACACTGATCGCCGCCGGGGGAACGACGGCGATCAGGTAAGTACCCCCAGACCGTTAGGACGGTTCAGGACCGTCATCGGTCGGCAAGGCAAAAATGCCGATGACGGTCCTGAACCGTCCTCGGTCCTTAAGTGGTTAATATTATTATTATGTTATTATTTAAAAAGCACCTACAAATTCCGCAGCGCTTTACAATGGGTGAACGAACAAACATGTAGTTGTAACCAGACAAGTTGGACACACAGGAACAGAGGGGTTGATTGCACTGCTCAATGAGCTTACATGCTAGAGGGAGTGGGGTAAAGTGACACAAAAGGTAAGGATAGCATTAAACTAATGACAGTTGCAAGAGAGGAATCAGTTGGGAGATAGTAACAGTTTTATTGATATGCTTTTATGAAGAAGAGGTTTTTTAGAGTGGAGACTGGGTGAGCATCTCCGTAAGGAGGAAAGAGAGTTCCACAGAAGAAGCCCTCAAAAAGTCTTGAGGGTGAGCATCAGAGTTGGGAGTATGGACAGCAGATAGACGTAAGTCTTCAGCAAAGCTTAAGGGCCGAGATGGGACATACTTTTGTATTAGGGGGGATAGGTGGAAGCAGCATTATGTAGAGATTTAAAAGCAAGAACCAGAATTTGAAATTGAGCCCTATATCTTAAAGGAAGCCAATGTAGGGACTGACAGAAGGGTGAGGCGTGGGCGGACAGGAAGATGAGCCTCCCTGCCGCATTCATTATGGACTGTAATGGCGCAAGTTGGGAGCACGTAAGACCACTGAGAAGCGTATTACAGTAGTCAAGGCGAGAAAGGACCGTGGAATGACCCAGCACCTTAGTCGCATCTGTCGTTAAGTAGGGTCGGATGCGCGCAATGTTTTTGAGATGGAAGCGGCAGGATTTGGCGATAGACTGAACATGAGGCGTGAAGGAGAGGTCGGAGTCAAAGAGAACACCTAGGCAGTGAGCCTGCGTGGTGGAGCTGATGGTAGCACCGTTGACTAGGAGGGAGACAGACACAGGAGTAGCAACACTTGAGGGAGGAAAGACCAGAATAATATAATTTAATTAAGATAGTATTCGTTTTTATTTTTTTCCTATTCATAAACAAGAATAGCAAACTGTATTATTTTGTGATTAAATAGATGTACTATAGATAGATACAAAAATAATATTCCCTTTCAGAACACATAAAAGGCGGTTTACTTTTTTATATTTTTAATAAATCACTTGACAATGAAGGCCATAATACATTGAACATAATACATTTGTATTTTTTTTCCCAGTCATTTATTGCTAACAACAATGCTTTATTTTTCTATTGGGAGTCAGTGCTGTATCAACAAGTTCGGTATCAGTTCATGGGAACAAAAATCTAGGCAAACATTTTGTATGCAGAAATGATATATTCGAACCATGTATGCCAAGCATTGTCTTAAAAGCAATAAAGGCCCCTGAGCAAAGCAGTGCACAGGGTCCACACACCCATTCAAAATGTCAACTATCAATAAAATTAAGAAAACAGGGGGCTGGCTGCACTCACCTGAATATGCATAAGTAGGGTGCTGCTGAGAGCCAGTTTATACAATAAAAACTGAAAATCCTTAACGCCTACTTATGCATATTCAGGTGAGTGCAGCCAGCCCCCTGTTTTCTCATATATATATTTGGGAGTCTAGCAAACTCTTTGATTTTGCACCCCTCACTGTCACAGTTGCCTCATCTCAGGGCCCTTTTTAGCCTTGTACTGCAGAGAACTCAAGATGGAATATTTTCCCCAAGTAAGTAGCTCATGAAGCAGATGTTAGGCTGGTAGTGTAGGACCTGCCAAGGATGAGGTACATTGATGTTGTGGCAGGCTTATGCAATGTATGCTCATATAATGTAACTAAACCCCCATTATTTTTTGCCTGGATTAGGTGTTCTTAAAAAAAAACAACTAAATATGTCAGCACTGCAGTTGCTGTTTAGGGGATAATGGAGTGCACTGGATTTTCTGTTTTTATCAATAAAATTAAGCTTATAGTTATTGATACCTCCAACAAAATCAGTAAACTTTTAAAAACATGTTGTACAGCAGAGATTAATCCACACAAATGTTTGAACAATATAACATGGGCCTTGAAGTTCAAAAACAAGCATTTAACATAAACATGGGTAGGTAGTAAGGGGAGGCAACTGACATGGACTGTTCAAAATATTAGAAGAACTTTATTCTATCTTTACGGCTTCAAAAAATTACGTGTGTTGATTTTGTCTTGCTTATGTAAAATTATACATGTACATTGTTTTCGTCAAGGTCAAGATATGTATTCGCAACAGCAAGATCACATGTACAAATAACAGCTGATGCCAGTGGTGTATTTTGGTTTTGTGCTGCCCTAGGCATGACAAAATGCAGGCACCCCACCTCTTTCCAAATTTCTCTTCCTGACAGACACACATCCTCACTGATGCATGCACTGACAAATACACAGTCATTGTCACACACACTGTTTAACCAACACACACTTTCACTGAAACATACACATTCACACACACTCACTCATTCACAGTTACACTTACTCACAGTTGCACACACATTCACGAACAGACACACACATTCAGTGACAGATACACATGCACACTCACTGACAAGACACACATGCACACTCACTGACAGACACACTAACAAAAATGCATATGCACACACTGACAGAAATGCATACATACCCACTGACAGACACACACTCACTCAGTGTCAGAAACACACACACTGAGACACACATATACTAACTGACAGATACTCACTGACAAACACACATACATACTCACTGACAGCCACTAGAGGCAGCTTCCACGATTCTCAGTGTGAAAATCGCATTGAACTCACACAGCATGAGTTCAGATCCCTATAGGAAAGCATTGAGTAATGCTTTCCTATGGGAAAATGGGTTTGTTTTCCTGGCACTATAGTGCTCCTTTAATATTGGTTTTATATTTTATTGTACCCTATTGTATCAATGCAATGTTTTGTGGACCCAGGACATACTTGAAAAGATAAGATACGAGAGAAATCTCAATGTATCTTTTCTGGTAAAATATTTTATAAATAAATAAATAAATAGATAATAAATAAGTATTACCAATGCTGCTGTTAGAGGAAGGACTTCAGGCACATCTTCCCTGGTTTGCATGGAACCCACAGTAAAAAACACAATATATTATTTATTTATACAGTATTTTCTTTTTAAATTTATTTATACATGTTTTAATTGATTGGGTAGGTAAGGCATTTCAAATATTATGGCTATGGCAAAACTAGGCCAGATTCATCCAATTCTAAATGTTTAAACCTGTTCTCGGGAATAAGTGCAATAAAAGTTGAGATGGCAATCTCACTAGAAATGATCTTTTTATTCACATAATTCGCAGAGCTACATTCTGTTTTTGCAAATAAGAACTGAGGTATTCCAACCATTCTAGATCATGGTTTGCGAACATTCTACACACAGTTAATAACGTCAGCAGCATCAAGCCATAATAAAAATGACAAAAAAAAAACAAAAAAATCAACCTAAACCAGTTCTTAATCCGCTAAATAAATTAGAAGACAGCTTCTATAGGTTAGTTATACAATAAACTAAAGCACTTGGAATGCAACAGTAGCATGCCAATGTCCTGGTTACCTGCAACATTGTACTTTTCCTGTGTCCTATTACTATTAATTTCTTTACACACTTCTGATACACACTTTAAAATGAATATTCAGTTACTCGAGAAAGGACTTAAAATCATTTCACGTTTGCACAATCAAATCACTTACTTATATATTCTGATGGCACAGCCTGGCACAGATATCATTTGCGGTGTTCAGTGATGATACAGATGTATGCATACAGTATCAATGGAAAACTGCATGAGTGACAGCATAATGAAAACATTTTGGTACCATAACCTGAAGGTACAGCAGAAGTGTGTGTGTGGTTTACACTTTAATTCAATATTCCCCTTAACAGTATTTATTAGACAAGAAAAGCAGAATTGTCGCCTGCTCAAAGATGACAGCACTCTTTCACTATATGCCTGTTTACTCAGATTATCTTTCAAATATATTCCCTATGTCAGAGGTGCCCAAACGGTAGATCCCCAGATGTTTTAAAACTAGAGCTTTCATTATGTTTTATTATGCTTTGACATTCTAAAGGCATTCGTGGGAATCTACCTTTTGGGCACCACTGCTCTATGCAATGTGAAATTAATTATAAACATGTAATTTAAATATTTTTTTACATTATTTACAAATAGTTCCTTTTACTCCAGAAAAATACAAGGAAATGTGTGTGATCATTTATAAACCCACCCAGATGAAGGATGGATCTAGCTTCCTTTCAATGTCATAGTCCATGCCATATTTTGTGGATTCTAATAAGAGGCGTGTTTGTCTGTAGATGGAGAGTTCAGGCAGCGAGGAGAATTGCAGCTGTGTAGAGCTGAATTGCCACAGTGTGGAGCTGAGCTAGTGCTGATGATTTTGCTATGTGATGCTGTAGAAGAATCGCTCTTAAATACAGGGCAATGAAATGGGCATAGAGGTTCTGCAGCTGCAATCCTCAGGCTGCATCTTTGAATGGGCTAAGACCATTCTCCTGTGAATAGAATTGCAACTTCCAACAAACAAGTGATAGGGAGAACGGCTGCAGAGGCTAGAGCTTTAATGAACATGGATAATCAGGATAAAGCAAGCATTGAGCAAGGCACAGAAAACAACTGACTATGTTTTGGAATTAGATTTCCCCGGCTATAGGAGTGTAAGATTTCACCTGAATTCAAGGATTGGTCAAATTATCACCTAGTGCATTTGTCTGGTAAGTGTTTGTGATTATAGTCATTTCCCATCAATGCTAGTGACTTTTCATCTGCGCTTTTTTAATTTATTTATTTAGCGGATTAAGAACTGGTTTAGATTGATTTTTTTTTTTTTGTTGTTGTTGTTTTTTTGTCATTGTTATTATGGTTTAAAGCTGCCGACTTTATTAACTGTGTGTAGAATGCTCGCAAACCATGCTTTAGAATGCAGATCCCATTCAGATGCAGAGAGTGATACATACTTCATTCTCTCCTACAGTATAGCTTTCTTTTTGACTGATGCTCAGCTGGGAATATTGCTGTATGCTGCTGAGCTGTTAGCACGTAAATCTTCATATAAAACACTGTGCAACTCGGTACCATATGAAATGTATTACCATCCACTAATAGATCATTTTAGCCTAGATATGGATTGCATTTACATCCCATACTCTAAGCATAGATGCAAACATACAATATTAGCTATTTAAGGATCCCACATGTTACTCCATGATGTGCCAATGCCCCAACAAAGTTTTTGTTCTAAAATAAAATAAAAGCTTGTGTTTTACCCCACATTTAAATCAGGTCACAATTCTATAATTACTTTTTTTTTCATTCTTCATCTGCAGAGTAATAAGTTTAAAGATGTCACATCTAAAATGCAATTTAAATGTACCAAGTAGTGTGTGTTATTATTCACAAGTCTTAACATGCTTATGTCCATGTTCTTCATCGTTGATAAATATTCAGTTGAAGACATTATAACAGAGGAGGAAAGCAGTTATCCAAATTTATAGTGCAGCAGTGACATTATACTAAGAGGCTGATCAATTCCAATCATTTCTGTGTAGGAGGTGTGAGGAGTGCTGGTGGCTCCTAGAGGTTGCATAAACTTTGACAATGATTTCTCTTTGAATAGCTGTTATGCACTACACATACGAGTTCATGGGGAAAAATGGTTATTTTTTTCCATATATATATATATATATATATAGTATGTGTTTTTTTTCTATATTATGTTCATATTGGGCTAATTGCTTGGAGTGTTCTATAAAAGATATGTCTGTTATTACATGAAATATAATTCAGTAGGATAATGTCATTATTAGTCATGTAGACTGCATAGAAATAGATGATGTTTAGCATGTTCCAGAATGAATACCAATGGTGGATTGATGGAGAAAATATATATAGATCATTGTGTTTCACAGCTATGGAACCTCCACTGAAGCTCTGACTCACAGACACACAACATATTCTTGTTTTGGAGAATATGTGAATGGTTCCCCTGTTGGCTCAGAAAATTTCCTTGAGATGCATAAAGATTTAATGAATTTGTTTGAACGTTGGGACTTGTATTTATTCACTTCTTTTAGCATTTATTCAGGGTGAATAGGCTAATGAAAATGAATTAAATCTATTAAAAAAAGGGAAATGTGAATTCACAGTAAGACAAATTAAATATATGCCAGCATTGGATTTGATAAATGATAACCCAGGGAACAGATTTGCTAATCACTAATTTCAAAGTGACTCAATATTTCACAGATATGCTCATACCGGTATGACCAGTTTTTGAATTTCTTCCTGTACTCAAATCCAGAGCATTTTTTATGTTCTTGAAGGGTAGAAAAACCCAACAAATATCAATACAGCTTGTTCAAAGATAATTTACTTTTTGCTCTCTGCAGTATCCCCAAGGGAGATCTGATATGCCAAATAGTCTTTTTCACTAAGAGATCTAGAGGAATTGAAATTAATTACATCTTTTTTATTTTCATTTATAATATTCTCATCAAACGCATGTTTTATTCACATCATTGTGTTTATATTTAATTGTACAGACCTTCATTCATCATTCATGCAGAAGAAACAACCGTGTTATTTTTATTAATGTGCACTACAAATGTAAGAACAGCAGCAGGGCAGGATCATCAATCATTCAAATGAACTATATTGAATTTCTTACAATTTGCCACATATTATCATGGCACATAGCACTGGTGAGCTCTGCTGCATTTTACAAATACAGCAACCAGTATTCTGGGTGTCTAAAATAAATGTAATACACTTAATTATAATTGTTTCTTGGGGGATGCAAAATATGTCTGATTTGTGTCTTTGTATAATAAACATGCATCGGTGTGTGGACATTTGCTACCATTTACATTTGATTGCCCATACAATTCCCACAGTCATGTAGCATATAGACACAGCCTCCCACATTCTCTACGGTTATATATGTTATTAAAACCTGTTACTATCAGAAACTTTCATACTACAATTGCATTACATATCCATTTCAAGCTTTAGGCTGATGGGTAACAAGTTAGTCACTCATGTTATATTAAGTGACTTTAGAAGAAAATTCTGAAAGTAAAGATCAAGAATCGTGCCAACAAAATGAAATAATTTGATTATAGCATAACGGTTTATAATAACTAGAGTGTGCTGAAAATGCTTGTAATTTGGCATTAGTAATTCGTATATAACCAATAAGCATAACTCTAATTAAAAAACAATTTCACGTTGCATAATGAGGGAGACTAATTCTGGTAGATCTTGAAAAGCTCATAAAAATATAAAATAAATGAAAATGTTTATTACATGATTGTACAGTTTCATGGGGCGAGCAGCTAGACATAGCATTTATTTTTCTCCCATTTGATGGTCTACCCATACCCAAGGTTATCTTATCCTCACAGAGTCTCAGAGTCTCACTGTATATGCATGAATTTGTCTTTCTGCCCATTTTCTTTTTTTTTTTATAGAAATGTTTTTTCTGCCCTATAGCAAATAAAGATTGATGAGAACACCTGTTTTCTGCTTGGGTTAATCTTTGTATCTTTGCATAGTTCTGAATTTTTACAATAAAAAAAATCTGTGGAGCTTGGGGAGTGAATTTTCAACAAATGATGATCACGATCTTGGAAAATGCTGGTGCTAAATTATAAAAAAAAAATTATTTTTTTTTACAAAATATATATGTATTTTACTTGACTTAATAAAAACAGTTTAAAAATTGATGGAAAAAAACCCCTCAAACTTTTCCACCAAGAAAGAAATTGTAATTTTCTATGTTCAGAAGATTTTCAGATGTTGGCAAAAAGTTAAATTTTATATCTATTTATCAGTTTCTGAGGTGGGATTTTCTCCCAACTCTAATCTCTATCTTTTTTTTTTTTATTATTTTTGTGTCCCCTTCATGCTCCAGCAGGCTTGGAATACTAGATCAATATGATCCACATATAAATGTGATTGGTTGTTGTGAATCCAATCACCAATGGTTTTGTGATTTTAGAAAGCATAAAATAACTTTGTTCTAGAATTCTATTTTTTTTTTTAATATTACAATGATACTCTTCTAAACTCTTAACTTAACCTGCTATGCTGTTTAATTTGACCCCACTAACACGCACACTTTATGATATAAAGCAGAGTTTTTGTTTGCTGCAACAACAAAAAAAACAACACATCAATGTTAACAATACATTATAAAAAAAATGCATAAGCAGAAAATAATAAATTTCTTCATTATACAAAACATAACCTAATTCTATGGCAGAGAACAAACAAGACAACTCAGTCTATTGGTCTTTTGTGCCCATTCCTTGAATTTTAATAACCTAAACATTTTGCATTTAAAAATATAAGGGTATGCCTACCATAAATTCTAAATAAGTGGTAGGCAACCTTCAGAACACCAGATGTTGTGGACTACATCTTCTCAGATACTTTGATAGCATTATGGTTGGAAGAACATTATTGGAGAGGGAGTCCACAGCATCTTATGCAATTGAGTCCCTAAACATCTGGGGACATAGTCATTAACGTGTCCTGTAGAAATTAAAATAAGTTAATACGTATAAAATTCAGCATAATCAACATACATATACATACAGCCTACATATAGGCAACCATTAAAAAAAAAAAAAACATAAGCCCACTTTCGTTTAACCAAAGGAACTCTACAGAATAATGTGTTTGTTTGAGATAGTCCAGGCATCAATTTGTTACAGCAGTCTTACTTCATTTAAAGGTGATCTATGGATTATGATTAATCCCATGAGAAAACAGCAATCAATTAACTATGAATATGTGATATGATTCTGAGATATAAGCTTTATCATGAAATATATTTTATAAAATGTCCATGTATGCAAATGCTTATCTAAGGCATAAAGACAGTTTTCAATCAATGACTGCAAAGACAAATAATAAAAAAGCACATGGAGGAAAATGAGAAGACAAAAACAAGCAGAGTTATTCGCTAAAGTGTGATTTTCCGTGAATTCAATGTAAATTCAAAGAAATCTTCAGGTTAGAGTGAAATTGGAAATTGGAAAATATTTTCAAGTCACTTGTATGCCCACCTTGCCTAAAAAATGTAATGCACAGAATTCCTGATTAATCTCATCATCAGTGACCGAATGTTTCAAGAATCACAAATTTCACAGAACTTTTCAGAAGAAGCTCCTAGGAGAAAATGTCTTATGTAACAAATTGTTTTTTTTTTTTATTTTAATTGCTGGATTTTTTTGTTTTGCTTATAGACAACTCTTTTTAAACATGTGATAATTATTAGTGAAATAACCTTTGAAGTTAAGAGTTGTTCCTTAAAAATGTCATTATGAACATCTAGTTTTGTCCCCAGAAAATAAGGAAAAAAAATGTTTGATTATTTTTTTTCCCCTCAAAGCAAATTTGATAAAGCTGTTCAATATTCAGAAATTAACATTGAACTGCCACAATGAACTGTTGGCCTGAGTATTCCTAACGTGTTTATTTTTTTATTCAGTATAATAAATGTCCAATGACTAAAGACATGTTTGCCCACTTTGTTTAATAATATATTTATTTAACGGACACCTCTGGAGAACATAATGTCCAAGTACTTTTGAAACAAAATGCATTCCACAAACAGAATCCTTTCCCTCAAGTCAAGAGCCTTTTCTATAACTGAAGCATAGCCTTAGGCTTTTTGAATCATTATGAGGAATAGTGTCAAAGGTGTCAG